GATGAAGATGAAGCTGCAAAAACCTTGCCAATAACTGCTTCACAAGCTCAGTCCATGGATGATGGCGACGACGATGATGAAGACGATGAAATGTCAAGAGCCACCAACCTTAAAAATTGAGTTACATCTTTTGTGACATCAATATTTGCAAATTTATTGGGCCAACTTTGACAGGTAGAGCTCAAGAGCTTGTATTTCGTCGGAAAGTAAATTACTTTCATCGTCCTTGCTGTAAAAGGTGTTGACAATTTCTTCGTCAATAATATCTTCCATTGTTTCATTAAAAACGTTGTCAAGTGGTGTTCTTGGCTCCTCTTCTTCACTCTGATCATCATCCGTTGTTCCTGCTTCTTGTCCTTGAGGTTGATCAAAAATGGTGTCATGATTGGTATCTTCATCCTCTCCCTCATCAAACATGGAATCTTGAGATTCAAGATTAGTGTTTGGGTTATTGTCATTACTTGTTGTGGAGGTTGGTGGTTGCGCTAGTATTGTATTTTCCGTCGACTTTTTGATAATGAAAGAAGCAAGAGAATTCAAATCATCTGAGGGAATTCTTGGGATGGCCTTTCCATTCACAAGCAAATCAACAGCAATTTGTTCTAGAGTTGTAGGTGATGATTGTGACGCTGCTTTTTTGAGAGCAAACGCAACATTCTCTAAGGGAAATCCAAGCATACACAGCTTGTGAACCAAGTTGTAATCAACAACACGTCTGTGAACTCTTTTCTCTGCTTGGAATGATAAATCCTCGAGCGTTTGTTCATTGCACAAGAGTTGTGTGGACACCAATTCGTCATTATTAGATTGAATCAAAGCTTCTACTACAACCTCAGTGTCGACGTGAGGAAAAACCTTTGACAATGCTTGCAGCAATTTCATGTCCACTAATTTTCCGTTTTTCGTTTTGCCATAAACTAGTTGCTTCTTTCGCTGTTGTTTTCGTTCCATTTCTTCCATTCGTTTTTGTTTTGCAATTTCTCTTTTTTCGAGAATGTATGACAGAGCCATTTCTACATTTCCATCACAATTTCTCAAAGCCTTTCTAGCTTCATCTGTAGAAAATCCCATATTGACCAATTGATCCACAAGTGTTGGATCAATTCTCAACTTGTTGTAATCATTTTGAGACTGTTGAAGATAAACCTTTGCGTTTTCCTTATCTCCTATTTCTGTACAAATAATACCTTTCAGGAGAGAAAGCTTTGCATAGAGTGCACGTTGCGAAAAACGTCCTTGTTGTAAATTGAGAAGTCTCTCCAAATTCTCTCCATGTGCTTGTTTTAAAATCTTTTCTGCAAGTTGCAATCTTTGAATAGCATCAAAGAGCATGCTTGGATCTTGCAATTTGTACATACACCAAACGTAATCAATCAATAAGGTAGCATAATTATCAACAATGGAGAGAAGTTGTGGAGACAATTTCCTAAATGATTCATCAGCAACCTTCAAGCAATCAAAGGCATTTTCAAATTGTTTCTTTTTGAGGTATTCTTCAGATTTCTTTTGCAAGATCATTCCCATGACGAGAGCCTCACGTTCCCATTCAGGTAAATGAACTTTCTTTCCGTTCTGATCTTCCAAAACAAAGTGATATTGTTCATATTGTGAGTCTCCACCGTTGGCTCGTTTTGCCATTTCGAGTGCAGCCTGACGAACTTTTTCCAATCGAGAAATTTGTGCATGATGATGAGGATTACCACCTGAAGAGGATGATGGCAGCGATGGAGAGGTAACAGGTGAAGTAGTAGTGGTGGTTAATGTTGATGGTTTACTTCCCGAATTTGGTGAAGTTGGTTGTTGTTGATGAGGAGAGGATACCACAGTAGGACTAGTAGTAGTAGAAGTGGTTTGATGATGAAGGTTCGTTGGAGAAGAAATATTTACATTGGTACTACTATTATTTCCTTCGGATGCTTTCAAATAAATCAAAAGGCTATTCTTTATCTTGGCATCTGCAAGACTCTCGGAATCATTCTTTAAAAACTTTCCTCCACTCAACAGAGTGAGATCAGACAAGTTCCACTTCTCCGATGATGCACCATGGTTATGAGTATCTAATATTAATTGCCGAAATTCAAGCACGGTGATTGAGAGATCGACCGCTGGAAAGGTGTGGGTCCATTTGGATTTGGTTTCTTTCACTGTGATGTCCATTCTGGAACTGCTGATTTTTTTCCTTGTTTAAATTGAATTTTCACGATTTATGTCCCTCGAAAAAAAAAAATTTCTGTAGTGTGAACTTGAGTCTTCAATTTCAGTTTTGAGCCATGTCATCATCCCAGTCGATTAAAATGTTTTATTCATCAAAAAATGTGTGAAGTTTTGGAGATCAAACACCAATTACCTCCATTCCACTCTTTGAAATCATATGAATACAATGGACAGCAATACTTTGCAGCAGATGAAATTATTGATTCTTTTTTTGTTGGAAAAAAACGAAAAAACATCAAGATTACTTCTCACCATTAAAGATGGCAAAGATACACTCAATCATCAGCAGCAACAGGCTATCGGATTGCCATCTCCCTTCCGCAATGGAGTCATCATCACGAATTTGGTAGCTTTATTACAAACAATTCTTAAATTATCTACAGGCAAAAAAGATCAAGAAAAACTAATACGCCACATATTCACCACTTTTTCAAAAGAAACGAGCTTGGTTGATGTTATGGATTTTGATAACGAGATCGATAGTGAAATATGGAATGATTGTGATCAATGTTATAGTAATTGTGAAGACAACAACTTAATCAACGAAGCCGCTCTTTATTTTGATGACGTAGACAATGACGAAACAGAAGAAAACGATGAAGAATTTAGTGACAATTTATTTCAGTTCACAAATTTCTCCTCAATAAGTGAACAAAATCAAACCGATCAAAGTGAAGATAACACCATCAATACCATCTTGCAGAATTTAATCTCTGAAAATGAAATGAACACGCAACATCAACCACCAATTTCAGATTTTCCATCTCCACCAAGCCAGGACCAGACTCAACAATT